CTTGGAAAGCTTGGCCACAATAGGGTTGGTACTTCTAACTGCCTTCTGTCCAGATGGTCTTATTCCAAAAGACTGTTTGGCTGCTGAGTGGACTGTTGACACAAACTCTCCCCATGTTGCATCTGCTTTCGAGCATGTCATGTCAGCGGCTTTGAATTCTGGTACGGAGTCCAGCAGCAGTTCCCGAAACCTGCCTTGTCTGCCAAGAATGTTTTCCCTCTCCCAGTTAGTCAACTTCCCTACTCACCACACTCCAGCCGGAGCAGGAGCAGCCTTGGACTTCGTATTATTACTCATACACCATCTGCGTTATCCATTTCAGACATTATTGCTCCTGTGGGTCAGTCTGACCACGACATCGTGTTGGATCGTAAGGAAGCGCCTAGCCTGCAACACTATCAAGAAGCAACGTTCTCTCCTGCATCAGGTACAGCCTATGAGCGCTCACCGTCCACGCCAGATGACTTGATCGGCAGGTCACCGCCCCGCTATCATTTCCGTACGATCACAAATGACCAGTGGAACTGTATAAACCAGCAGCTTACTTCCGTGGATTGGAGGGAGCTTCTTGGTAACACAAGTATCGACGTCGCATGCGAGAGATTCTTATCTTAACTCTCTGCTGCTCTCGCTAAGTATCAGTTCCCAGCTTCCCCTGTTAATCACCCCTCTTCACTGGGTCGTTCCGTCGACAAGCAAGCACGTCCACCCTGGCTGACGACCCTATCCGTCGCTTACTCATTTTGTCCGCTCCCTGGCTGGTGTGTCTTCGCATCATCCTGCACCTTCAGCAATGACCACCTCCACTGACACCCTCACACATAATCCTGCTGAGTTGACAGCTGCTCCCAACGAGCACTTTGTACGGGTTGGCACACAGGATGATCCTGACTGGCCCGTCCCAGATCTGTCTCATCTCCCTTCTCTGGCCTCGAACCTCTCAAACATTGTTATATCCTCTGAGGCTGTGATTCCCTATATTGAGAAACTCCCCACAGGGAAGTCCCTAGGCTATGACGGTATAAGCAACCAGATTCTGAAGGCCTTGAAACTTTCTATCTCCTATCCTCTCTCTCTTACCTTCAATAATTCCCTGTCCAGCGGCGTTTTTCCTACTGCCTGGAAATATGCTGTGGTTGTGCCCATATACAAGAACGAGGGAAGCAGACATGATCCTGGTAACTATCGCCCTATCTCTTTGCTGAACACCTGCTCCAAGATACTTGAGAGAATCGTCTATGATCGGCTGTGCCATCATCTGGCACCTCTGCTCCATGATATGCAATCTGGGTTCCGCCATGGTGACTCTACCTCTCTACATATAACCAACCTTGTACAGAGACTATGCACCCTCCGAGACCGACGCCATTAGCTTGGCCTGTGTTTCTTCGACCTGGCGAAAAGTTTGACTCAGTTTTGCATAGGGGGTTACTAGCCAAGCTGCATGCTTCACCGGCCGCCTGCAGTCGTGGCTCACCTCCTATCTCAACCACAGGACTCAATCAGTCAAGTTTGGTCCAGTCTTCTCAGAGTCCTATCCCTATTTGCTCCGGTGTACCGCAAGGGTCCACCCTAGGACCGTTACTTTTCATGGCCTTCGTCAACGACCTCCCTGTCCTCAACGCTGGCGTGTCTCTGTTTGCAGACGACACTTGCATGCTGCGCAGTAGTCCCTCTGTGTCACGTCTTATATTGGACCTCCAAGCGGGTATCATGGATATCACCTCGTAGATGGCATTGTGGAAGCTAAAGCCTAACATCGGGAAGACCAAGGTAATGATCATTCCCCCTCTGTCTACTACTCTCTAATACCCTCTCCCTCCCCTAGTATTCCATTTCTCCACCACTCCCATAGAATATGTATGTCATCACAGGCATCTTGGTGTCATTTTTGACACCTATCTCTCCTGGACTCACCATGTTGCCCACATATGTAAGAAGACGAGTCAAGCCATATGTATGATATACTCACACCGCGCCCGTCTTCCTGACAGCTATCGTGCTCTTTTTTATAATGCATATATCTTGCCGCATTTTTACTACTGCTGTACTGCCTGGACAAATCTATCTATTATAATACTGTGTTATCCTCGACCAGACCTCTCCTAGAAAGACGACGAATCATGATGTGGTGTCTTATCCATCGTATTCGACTTTCCAAAATACCCCCGCATCTCAAACAATTTGACTGGTTCCGAAGGGATAGCTCCACTAGGAACCAACTCTCTCTTCCTCTAGCCCGCTCCTCTGCATTGCTTCCCTCCCCCATTTTCAATGGCTATTTGCATTGGCTTTTGCTGCACCAGGAGACAAAGGGCCTTTCTACTTTAACAGCATTCAGGAACGCCTTGCTTTACCAGTAGACCACAATTTTAGTCCATCTTTGCTTCTTTTCCTTTTCTTTGTGACTTCTTACTCTTTCCCTTGTTAGCCGTGGCTGGCTATAAAAACCCTGCAATCGCCACGCAAAGTGATCATTGGCTACCCCAGCCATGCATTCCTTGGAATAAAAATAAATAATTATTAATATTATTATTCAAATAATCTACGTGGAGATAAAAGTTTAATAATAGCAATGAAAAGTATGAATGCCGCAGACATCACCACGCAACATGACAATTTGTTCAAGGTTTGGTTTTGTGTGTTTCCAAAATCGATTTTCACGTTCCGATCATCAGTGGAAATACGGAACTAAAGAGATCAAGGGAAAAACAAAGGTTAAAAATCCAAAGAAATTATTATTGATCTGGCTATCATACAATCATGACTGTCGTCATTGCTACATAAAGTGCTAACAAGTGTTACGTGTGTCTACACAAAGGGATCCACGATCCAGTAACCTGGTGACACAAGGAGGGTTGCACCTACCTCTCGCTCATGAGTGTAGCAGATTGTTGCGAAAAAGCTGGGAATTCCCAATACTATCCCGTTTTATATTCACTATGAAAGTCCAAATGCCGCTGAAATCTCACAAAATGCTCGTCTTTTTTCCTTTCTAATGCTCTGGTGCTCGGATAGTCCTATAATGCGGAATATAATGCGGAATATAATGCGGGCATTATCAGCTGGACTCTAACTATAACCCACACACTTCACGTGCAAACTAACCATTCTGATTTTAAAACGGTGTTTAAAAAATATAATGTTCTTGACGGTGTGGTCAGTAATGAGTGTGGGTTCTGAGTCTGTTGTCGCCACTCGCCTGTTTGCACATGTTTCAAGACGGCCTCTTGAATGATTCTCCTTTCGACCTTACCTTGTTTGTTTATTTATTTATTTTCGTCTGAGTCACGTTGGTGCGAACGTGCACGTGCAGATGCTCAGTCTATAGCCACGTGGTCTATTATGTTCTTGCTTTTTTTTATGGATTCTCCCCAGGCCTTAAGCCGTGTTCACAACTGGCGCTTAGACGCGGTACGCTTGCGGTTCATGCGTACTCGAATGCGCGCTCAGGCTTTCTAAAAAGACAGAAATTCGACACGTATGTATTTAGGGCGTGAGGCGCCTTTGAGTACTAATTTTTGGACCCCGCCAGTCAAAGTGACTGGCGTGTACGCTGGTACGCGCTGAAAATTCCGACATATTGGAATTTCCATTTCGGCGCGTTTCCGTAAGCATGGCGCCCCAAATGCCAGCAAAAAATACGCACAACCGCATGGTTTCACGCGTACACGCGCCAGTTGTGAACACAGCTTTTTAGCCTAACTTGAGGGAGTCATTATTATGAGAAGTGTCATTGCTCTTTTTCCACCGACACTGATAATTCTCTCCGTCTGTCTCATCGCGTTCTAATGTTCTCCTCCGTCTCCTTCTCTCTATTTTGTTTCAACTTCGAATGTGTAATTGTTTGAGCCAGGGAGTCGTAACAATTGATGTTATTTCACGACTCCCTGGTTGGAGCTGCTCTCATGATACATTGTTTGTATTTTTGAAAACCCTTTGTAACAGCGATCATGCGCTTGTACAGCTGCGCTGTCCTGTATGTGCTATGACCAGGGAGTAGTACACAACCCCTTGCACTATACTCCCTGGCTATGAGTATATATGTCACGTGTACATGTACCGGAATGTGGTGGCGCAATCGCGCCGTGCCTTTGCTGGCCTTTGCTCCTTCCTTTTGTTTTAGGCTGCGTTTACACGGAGACGGAACGAAACGGAACGAAAAGGCGCTGGCCTCGAACCGTTTTTAAACCGTTTACATGAGAACGGCAAATCATTTAGAACCCTTTAAACGAAAACGGAAAACGGGCAATCAGGCTGGAGTTAGCAAGTGCTGGCTTGGCGCAAGGGCAGAATCTAACACGTTAGTTGGAGTTGGCATGTGCTGGTGGGCGCAAGGGTTGGATATTTCCCGCAAAATATAGTCCCACACGGATTGGTTTCCATGACCGCGCTTCGTTTCCAGACGTTTTCACCGTTTAACTTACACGAGAACGAAAAGGTTTTGAAAAGGTTTTCAAAACACTTTGAAGTGTGTTTCCATTTCGTTCCGGTTAGGTATTGTTTTTGGGCGTTGTCCTGAGTTGTCGTATAAACGATAGTAGAAAACGAACGATTTCGTTCCATTTTGTTTGGACTTCGTTGTCGTGTAAACGCAAATCGTTGTCAATCGTTGTCGTGTAAACGCAGCCTTAGTTACGGTTATAATTTTTTCGTATTTTGTTAGGAATTTCCCAACAGGTAATGTTGCCTTTTTACTGCGAACCCTAAATGTGACTTTGTGAGAGCGATGGTTGAAGTCTTTTGCGAGGAGAAATCCAGAGCGTCTAATGGTGTCTTGTCCCATTTGCGTTCGAAGAGTGTGCCTGTGGACGTGGATCGGATTTTGAATTCCTGCCCGGAACACGTATTTTATGAAAGGTCAATCTATGGAATCATGAAAGACAAAATACAGGGAAGGTGCGTGGAATTTGAAAGAAGTATTGGTACACAGTCAAATATAGCCATAATGAAACGCTTTCGATAAAATAATCATCAATAATTTCTAATGGAGCAAGAAAAAGAACATTTGGAACTTGCGATGAGTTCCTTTCCTTTGTCTAATTTTATTGGCTCAAAATAAGAGTTTCACATCAAATAGTGAAAATAACGTACTGAAAGACAACACACACTGTACGTATGATTAAAAGAAAGGGAGACTGGGCCAGACAACACTCGGCCGCTTGTCAGCTGCTAGGAAATAAAAAAATAAAAAGGGCGCAGTACCGGCAGTATGGAATGAGAAAGCATACAACAGGGCTATGATCATAGTCTTAGCATCTCCGCATGTATGTGAATGTGTGGGAATGTATCGAAGTTTGACGGGTGGAATGATCATAGAACCTTCATCTCCCGGCCACAAGAACACACTCTCTTCCGGAATAGTCATTTATACAATTAATAGAAAGATCATGTTGACTGGATTGTTGAGACACTGGTTTGGTCAGGAATACTTACTCTAGTATTATTATAGCTTTGGGAATACAGAAACACGTTGGGAAAAATCATTTACTTCTGTAATGTTTTAAAAACAAGCGTGTCGGAGACAGCAACTATAATATTATAGCAACAAGGATGATCAATATCGATGTAAACATATCCTTATAATTATGTCTACATGCATGAGTGAAAAGTTAAGCGATGATTGCAAGGCATACAATGAACAAGAAAGAGAGCATTCATTCTGGAATAGTCATCTGCATTGGGAATGCTCATCCACACTGGGCATACTCATTTCTATTGGGAGTATCCATCCACATTGCAGAAGAAGAGGTCCGTTGTCTCCTATATGATGTTCCCTAGTAAGACAAACCACAGCCAACATACATTACTTCAGGTCAGAAGTCTAGCAATGTGGATCTGCCGGGGCTACCCCCTAAAACATCATCTTGATCATTGCCTGGGAGTGCCATGTCCAGTGCATTCGAATGAAAATGCAGAGCAGCCTACTGAACCACCTGGCAAATATTCCTCTGCATTAGCAGAGAAATGTTTCCTTTTTTCGGAATTTTTTTGGTAGGCGTGAGTGTTGAAGTCTTAAAAGAGAATAATATTGAACGGTCTCTGCTAGGATGACAGTGCTGCACCATAGCTCAGTGGTTAGAGCATTGCTGGCTTCAAGCAAACGTTCCTGGTTCCAGTCCTGGTAGTGACAGTCAATTGTTTCTTCAGAACTTTCGATTTTTTATATACTACTTCCTCCGCGATGGGAGCTGAAATATTTGAGCTGGTGCGCATTTTCCTTACTGATCGTGTCATGGTGAGTTCGACTAGCTGTGATCACTCAGGCGTGACCACCTGCACATTTCTCTGGTTCAACCCAGCGGTGTAAGGTTCGAACCACATGAACACAATACATATTTTCAATAAAAACCCTTTTTTAGGGCAGGGCGCCCCTGTGGTAGAACCCGCTCGTTGCCTACTACATCTACTCATCCCCATCACTCAAAATACTGATCTCTGTTCGCGCCGGAGCAGGCGTACAAATGAGTTCGCTGAACGAACTCCAACGCTTGGCTCATGCTGGTTGAGGAAACAACAGGCAAGAGCCGTGCAGTGATGCACGCGCGTGCACCATACCAGTGATACTGAAACAGAGGGCACGCTGTGGATTCGCTCAAGGAAATCGGATTATCCTATTGGATGTTGGTAGAAACAAAAATTCCCAGCACATGATAAATCAGCCACAGCAGGCAGCAGGCACCTCGTGAACACCAGGTGGCATTGTGAATCAGTGTCGCTCCTGGATGGGCTAGCATGCACAGGGAAGAGTGAGCTCCGTTGTGGGGAGCAAACCCTTCGCTGAAAAGTCATCGCCGAAGTCACTGCCACTATTTCGTACTGGTGTGCACAGGGCAGGCTGGCGAATTTGTAGTTGGTTTGAAGTGACAGCGTTGTGAATGACCGAGGGTCCTGCACGTCTGTTCCAGGAATGATGCTGACTCACGCTGCTATCTGTTGTTCACGAGGCGTTTGTCGCGCTGGAAACGGAGCGTCTCTGTAAGTTTGTAACCATGGTGATGGTTTGGTCAGGAGAGCACTATATAAGTGGTGCTCCTCAGATAAAATCTTCCTTACCCTACTCAAACTCAATTGAGGCGGGGTGAATTTCCTGAAATAGTGTTTGTTGAGCAGGGAGCGGTGCTTTCTTGCAGGTCGGCGGAAAAGCTGAAGCTCCAGTGTCGGGAGCAAACCCTTTCCTAATACGAACGTCCTGAAAAGCGTTTAAAAAGACCCGGACCATGAAGATGTTTCCTTTTCCCGGTTCACAACAAAAGATGACGTTTCTCACCATTGTGAACTTCCTTCCCACCACTGTATTCCAGGCTCCTGTTTGTTGACGGAACATATTCACAAGTCAACGTCAACTTCCAGCTGACTATCATTTCCAGTGCATACACACATAATTATCACATACACTTCTTCACTCTCTTCGGAAGCGGAAAGGCGGTTCTTGACCAGAGAGTTGTACGACTCCTTTTTCTTGACCTGCCCAGTACGCGAACCCGTCGAATTTGTTTTCTTCACTCTCTTACATTTCATCTCTTCGTTACCTTATTAATGGGAAGAAACTTCCCTTACGGATTTGCAAAATAAAAAAAATTCAGTAAAAGAAGGTCAACAACTTCACTTTGTCATTTTCCATTTTATCAAGTGCATTGTGACTCATCTCATGGTGGTGTATTGTAGGAAGTAGCAAGGATAATTTGATTCGCGCCGCAGGTATTCACACCGAGATCATGGACAGGGAGGTTCTGCAAAACGAAAATGCGTACAAACTGTCGCCCTACGTCATGAAGTGAGAAATGTCGCACGAACTTTCGCAAAGCTTTGAACACGAAATGAACTTTCGTGGGAAATTTCGTGAGATCAGAACATGGTGTACGTGCACTTGGCATGTGCAAACTACGAAAATTTGCAGACCACAACGTTTGTGCGAAAATTCTTACACATTTTTGCAAGACCTGTCACGAAACTTCGTTCGAAATTTCGTTTTGCGGAACCTCTCTAATAGATGTCCTTCGTGGCGTTCTACCAAAGTGTTGCCATTATCTGTTGCAGTTATTCTTGCAGTTGTTCTTGTCCAATTTCTTCTTCCAGCTGGTTGTGCAGTTCTGAAGCATTGAAGAAAAATTGAGAGGCCGAGTTCATCTGAACAACACTTACTTATGCAACGTGGTAAATTCTTCCAGATGCCATCCGGCCCGCAGGCCACTTCTTCCTTGAGGGTGTGAAGTTGATAGCCTGTCTCACATGTAACATGCAGATCCTTGCTAATGGATCGGTATCCGAGTAGATTGAGCTGCGCTTCATCAACTCTGCATTCTGCAAAAAGGAGGAAGAAAAACAGGCAGTTTTGTCAATTCGAAGACACGCTAAAACATTGAAATCGACTACACTCGAAGATGTCCGAGAAAAGATTTATCTTTACCTTTGGTACAGTCGATTTTTGCACGGCGCCTGGGTGACTGAGTTTTAAAACGAGACTTATATTGTAACAGGACTTGCAACTAAAGGTGAAGTAGGCACCAGTTTGCACTTATCTGGGATACCTTCAATACAACGTAATTTATCGCCACTTCAACTCGTCGAGTGACGGAAACCCGTGAATGAAGTAAAAAGACGACAATCTGACAAAGTCATGCTGAACTTCATGCAATTTGTGCATTAGAACGACAGCACAGCAGCGCAGTTAGTGAGGGATAGAATTGCAATTCCGCCTAATAAAAGACTACAAGCAGCTAATCTCTGCTGCCGAATGTTCCTGCATCGGCCCCTTATTGAACTATTACAATTATTCATAAAAATCACCATGGAGTGCAGTAGAGCGTTTTTTAGCTCTGGTTTTCAGTGGGGTATTTTTGGTAAGGTGTGCCCATTGTGGCTAGACTTTGCAATTATGAGCCCAGGAGTTATCGGTGTAGATGTTCAAGACCAATTTGTCGATCCTAATCCAACTGCTGGCTCAATAACAGAGTCAAGCTCTCAAACTTCTATTGCGCAGCTCGTAGAATTGTTCCAAGCCAAACGAAGCGCAGCGGAAGACAGGGAGAAGAGGCTTGGGGTTTGCATAGACCTGTTGACTCAACAAGTACAATCTTTGCCGCCGATGACCACCAATGCTACTTTGCATTCGGTTGAGTCAACATCAACTAGCTTGGCCGCCATTGCCAGTGCAGGCGCGAAGAAGAAACATAAGCGCACAGCAGAGTGGAAGCAACAACAGAAAAGACGGTACAACCTCTAGTACGTTGGCGTCGGTTGAGACCCCGCTTGGTTCAATCAGCGACTTTCAAACGGATTCAAATAGTGATTCCCACGGCACCAAGCATGGTTAGGTTACAGCTGGCGATGCAAGTGATCCGCTTTCCCATCTTCAAAAGTTTGAGGAATTGTCCGAAGATAGTGATTACAATGGTGCACAGTGGGAGGTCGTCGCATCGAAGAAAACCAACAGAGAGAAAGAGTGTCCTGTCCATAGGCGATTTAAAGAAGGATATGTCAGTGGGGCAGCTGGAAAACTTCCTTGTGAGCAGAGCGGATAGAGCTGGTGTCTCTGTTCGTGTCTACAGCTCCAAAGTTTTTTCAAAGGCAGACTCGTGATCTGCACGGATTGTTATAAACTCTAGCACCAGCGGTTTTGTTCAACACCAAAGCTTCTGGCCCAATCCAGCGTACACCAGGCAGTGGAAGTTTGAAGGCAACAAGATGCCCCAACATGAATCCAATTATCCCGGCTCCAATTCCGTCGGCGACGAGTCTGTTGGGAATGGACAGGCTATGGACTGAATCATCACCCATGGAGCTGTCAGCAGCAATTGTGTTTCTGAACGTGTGTAGTTTGCGCACTAAAGTAGCTGAAGTCAAGGAGTTCATGTCCTCCACAGACATACATCTGTTTGGAATTGCAGAGACCTGGCTGTAATCTTCAGTAACTGATGGCGAGATTTCAATTCCTAACTATAATTCTATCGTTTCGTAAAGACCGCCAATTGCATGGTGGAGGTGTGTGTGTCTACTGTCATAAGTCGCTAGCAATACGTGGCAGGATGGACTTGGAATGTGAGACCTTAGAACTGGCCTGAGCTTGGCACTGGCGAGCAGAGAATACTTGTTGCATGTGAATACCGACCACCGAACATGCGTACTGCTTACTGGGAAGATTTCGAGGAGAACATTGATTATGCTTCCCAAGGTCGTCAATAATCTATTGTGCTTATTGGTGATCTGAATATTGACCTTGGCAACACGCAAACTGGTTCCCCGTACATCGCATCCTCGCCCGCTTTGGCTTACAGAACTACGTGAACGCTCCTACCAGAGTCACGAGTCACTCACAATCTACCATAGACCTATTCCTGTCCACCACCCCCATTCAAGGTCCTTCTGAAATTGTGTACCTGGATATCAGCGACCATTATGCTGTCCTAGCTCGTCTTCCTTGCAAATCTAGCTCAAGACGCCAGGGGGAAACAATGACAAAGAGCTGTCGCCTTCATCATGTTGATTGGAATACTTTTCAAGTTGACCTAGCCTCTACGCTGAATTCATCATTTAACGAGGATTCAATCGATAGCATGGCATGCTCTGTCACTGAAAAACCTCTATTTCATAGAACAATGTGCTACAGCAGATCAGAAGAAGCTTTGGGCAGTCATGAACACCGTAACAGGCAGAACGAAGAGTCGGCACGCACCACAAGTAACTGTCACAGAGCTAAATGATGCATTTGGAGCCATTGTCCATGATCCCCATCAACCAGCCACATTGCCAATGCCAGCTGGCCCAACTGGCTCAGTGGGACTGACATCTTTCACTGCAGTTCAGATTCCTGATGTTTCCACGTGATTACAGTGCATCAACCCCACTAAAAGCTACAGCCTAAGTGTGAATTTATTTTACTTCTGCTTGCAAAGGTTGGGCTTAGGCTGTTAGATAGGTCGTCAAAACCTCGTTAGTTATGTCCAGTGGTTGTCTCTTGTTGTCGCACTAAATGTCAAGCTTATTGAGCTTTCTCGCACTTGCACCTTTTTGTCATTATTGCTATGTGTATAGGTCATGCATTTTCGCTGTTTACTTTAGCTAACTTCTTCTTTGCGCTGTTTTCCCACCTCCTTACTGTACTTAATCCACTGTTCCTGTTCCTTTTCCTTTGCCTGTATTTCACCTGATGAAAAGGCTTGAAAGTATACTTGTAAAACCAAAAAACTTTCAAGATATTCATAAAGAGCCTGACGTGTGTCCTTTTTTATGAGTATTATCGCATTTTGTCTCAGAGGAAACTGTTTACTGTTCATACTTGATCATCATACTACTGTTATACTGTCGTAGTACGTTATTTTGTGTACGTCTTGTGTACGCCATGTTGGTGCATGCGCATGTTGCTGGGGTGGGAAAGCAGTCTTCGTCTTGAGTTCATGATGTCTTCGTCTTGAGTTTGTCATGTCTAGTTGTGTTTCGTCGGCGTGTCAATACAGACTCTTCTAAATGTAGTTATCGTCGTCTCTTTGTACAAGTGTGGAGATGGCACGGGACTGGGAGCAGGTAGAGAAAAGCGAGTTACAACATTGGTGGCAGCGGTGATAGAAATTTGTTGTCAACTTCTGGATTCGTCCTGCGTAGCCTTCGCTTCCAGTTTCCGATGTCATCTCCAGTCGTACTATCGTCACAGTTTTGTCCGTCTTGAAGAAGTTCGTCCGTCGTCTCGGTCCTTCATCATTCGTCTCTCCCGTCTCTTGGCAGTCGTCGTCACTGATGGTCCCGGACACGACGTAAAACTGTGCTCAGAAGAAAAGCTTAAAAAAAGAAGAAGGACGGATGGTCCCGGACACGACGTAAAACTGTGCCCAGAAGTGAGAATGTCGACGCTGAGCAGCCCTCCTGGAGATGGTGGACGACATGGCAGACGGCGTGAGGAGTTTCGCTGGTGAGAGGGTACGTGTGTTGTTGTGAACGTGAGGAGTACGTGAGTTTTGTATTTTCTGTTCTCCCAACATTTTTGTTCATTATTATTTGCTCTCCTCGAGGGTAAAGAGGCGCCCGCACAGCACGTGTGTTCAGTTCGTCTTTTTGATTTGCTCTTCTATGAGGTTAACTAGAGGCCCCCACAGAGCCAGTGGATTCTGTTCTTTTTGTTATTCCTATGATTTGTGCTCTCACATTTTAGAATTTTTGCGTGATCGTGAGGTGGTGTGTTGAGTGAAGTAGTTAGAGTTTTTGAGGTTATCAGCTCCCACACGTGTGACAGCGATCGTGGCTGGTGTTCTGGGTGGGCGGACAGAGTTTTTTAATAATCTGCAGTGCAGGCAGAGGTTTTATTTATGGGTGTGACTGGTATGGTATGATTGAGTGATTTGTGTGATCTTTTCCTCTTTTTACTCTGTTTATTATTAGAATCGAGGACGATTCTAATCTTGGGAGGGAGTTATGTTGTAGTACGTTATTTTGTGTACGCCGTGTGTACGTCATGTTGGTGCATGCGCATGTTGCTGTGGTGGGAAAAGCAGTCTTCGTCTTGAGTTCATGATGTCTTCGTCTTGAGTTCGTCATGTCTAGTTGTGTTTTGTCGTCGTGTCAATAAAGACTCTTCTAAATGTAGTTATCGTCGTCTCTTTGTACAAGTGTGGAGATGGCACGGGACTGGGAGCAGGTAGAGAAAAGCGAGTTACAACAATACTAATATCATACTGCAGTATTTCCCCGTAAGTTAGTTCTCCCCAATGACTTCGTACCGCCCTATAAAAAATACACTTTCCACTGCCGAAGTTATCACCTCGAAAGACAGTTCCCCCCGAAAGATAGTAAGTTCGTACCCGTCCTACATGTACAGACACCGTACAGTACATACATCATATGCACGGACACTAGAGTTGCGCAGGCCTCCCATTGCGTGTCATTTACCCCCGATAAAAAAGTACTCCCCGAAAGATAGTACCACCACCGAAAGTTAGTACTCATGTGGCTGCTAAGTTCGAAAGTTAGTACGTACTAACTTACGGGGAAATACCGTATCATACAGCCAAGTAGCTGTGGCATCATTTATGATCCAATGCCTGCACCTATGGTGAAGTAAAATAAGGGTAACATTTTTTATATTGCAACACCTCAAGACTCGGTTGAGAGACCAGTCAATGTGAGGAGAATAGCACTGAAGTTGCTTTTTTTCTTCCTATTATTCACAAACCCAACTCGTAAAATAAATAATTATGTGGACGAAAGCAAATAGGTACTAAGTAGGGGCTGAACTGGGGGGGGGGGGGGGGTTCCAATTGAAGCTGATGATGATAACACTTACCAATTATGCACAAGAACATCAAATTAGCGGGGTAGACATTGTCAGCGTAGGATCGCGAACTGATTACTCCATAATCTACATAGAAGATAGAGATGTCCCCAAATACTGCCCAATTTGGTCCCCACGCCAAGTCACTCCCGTTCAACGGTAGGTCCAGGGTTGAGTATGGCAGTGTTCCATTTCGCTTCTGACAATCAGATCTGATGGTCGCTACGGATACATGTCCTGTCCTGTCAATGGCGTACACGGATTCTCGTAACCAATGGAATGTTGCTGCAGAAGCAGATTTTGCAAAGCAAATTAATCAACAACGCAAAACAGATTATTGGATAAAATTTGTGCATTCCGCACAAGCCCACGTTTGTGCCAATCATTGACAGTGCTATTCTCCTGCGATATGATCAAAATACTGTCTTGTGCAGCATGTCATGCGATGGAATGGTTGCCAACAAGACATGCAATTGAATGGTTGACAACAAGACATGAAATGGATGGGTTGACAACAAGATATGAATTGGAATGTTTGTCAACAAGATATGAAATGGAATGGGTGCCAACAAGACTTGAAATGGATGGGTTGACAACAAGATATGAAATGGAATGTTTGTCACCAAGATATGAAATGGAATGGTTGTCAACAAGATCTGAAATGGAATGGTTGACAACAAGATATGAAATGGACTGGTTGTCAACAGGATCAGAAATGGAATGGTTGCCGACAAGACATGAGATGGATGGGTTGACAACAAGATATGAGATGGATGGGTTGACAACAAGGTATGAAATGGAATGGTTGTCAACAAGATCTGAAATGGAATGGTTGCCAACAACACATGCAATGGATGGGTTGACCACACGATATGAAATGGAATGGTTGTCAACAAGATAAGAAATGGAATGGTTACCATCAAAATATGAGATGGATGGATTGACAACAAAATATGAAATGGAATGGTTGTCAACAAGATCTGAAATGGAATGGCTGCCAACAAGACATGAGATGGATGGGTTGACAACAACATATGAAATGGACTGGTTGGCAACAACATATGAAATGGAATGGTTGACAACAAGACATGCGATGGAATGGTTGACAACAATACATGAAATGGATGGGTTGACAACAAGATATGAAATGAAATGGTTGTCAACAAGATCTGAAATGGAATGGTTGCCAACAAGAGATGAGATGGATGGGTTGACAACAAGATATGAAATGGATTGGTTGTCAACAAGATCTGATATGGAATTGTTGACAACAAGACATGAGATGGAATGGTTGACAACAAGAAGGAATGGCTGACAATCAGGTACCAGAAAGAAGGATTGATAAGAAGACATTCTTCCTGACCTCAAGACAACTTACGAACACATTTGTCAATCTTATGCCACCAGTGTACTAGTCCTATAATAGTCGTGCAGTACGGCGTGCCCTGTGGTACATTACTGTGGCCTGCTCTGCAAACAACAGACCCATCTCTGTAAACCTGCTGGTACGCTCCCAAAAGGTTATTGGCTCCATTGACCACGCAGTCTGGGAACACGGAAGAACATGAAAACGTACTGAAGTCGCCTAGAGGCTTAGGTGCTATCCGGCATTATCGATAATTTTCACGAAACAAAAAAGTGTACCGTATTTTACCGGTTATAAGTCGACCCCGGTTATGTAGTATGAACTCTTTTACGCACTTTACTTGTATGCATGCACGTGCCGTTGCGACACGTGTTCACGCCCACCATGTGGTCTTTACACTCCGAGCATGCGGGCCCCTCAGGTACGCATGTGAGGAACTGATCCTGCTTGTTCTGGTTTTCGGGAGTTAGGAGTTTGTTTGCACGAAATGAAGTAGAAGCCTTTGCGGTGTGTGTAGTTCTGTTGTTGTCGGGCCTGGATGGTTGCTGTGCGATACACCCAAAACAGGTTATAGGTAGACCCCCGTATCCAGAGGTCTTAATTGTGTTTTTTAAGTTTTTGCCCAACGAAGCACTGCTAACTGCTCCCTGCTACTAACACATGAACAATTTACATAAACACTCCTCATTGGATTCTGAAACATCCAAATCCTTGAAAAAGGCAAATAAACTTGGTAAAAATGCATACACATGGTGCACTCGTGTATTCAGTGCAGGTTATTTTTGGAAGATACCGATAATTCCCGGTTATAAGTCGAATCCCGGTTGTAAGTCGACACCCACCTTTTCTCCTGCTATTTTCAGTCATAAAGGGTCGACTTATAACCGGAAAAATACCCACCCACCCACCTGAATGAAAAATAGATTTACTTGACAGCAAGAATACATTGATGTCTCTCATATCAATATTTTTCAAAAACGAAACTCCCCTTGACCCACCCACCCATAAACGAAACTTTTTTCTCTTCGTGGGCACAAAACTCGTTCCCATGTGTTTTTTTCTATTTTTACATTATATTATACTGGTTAAACAGGAAATGCTTTGAGAATCGAATCGCTAGTTTCACCCTGCAGAAACGAGACTTTTTTATTTTTTTGTATTTATGGATTCTCCACAGGCCTTAGCCTAAATCGAGGGAGTCTCCGTCAACAGCTTATGAAGAAGAAGCTGAGGAGAAAAATAAAAATAGGAAATAGAATGATGCGGGGTGGTAGTAATATAACACAGTGCTCTATGACATCGCTACTCTACGTGGAAAGAAACCAGAGGGCTCATAACGGGTGATAGCAAAGTGTATGCGGACACTTTGATGTCCCAGTGCTGTACACTGCCTGCTGCCGCTTTCTCTACGTAGTATGACCAACTAGCTACAGTCAGCATGAACGCATCCATAATGAGTGTTTTACACAAAGTGTCTGTAGTCTTCGCTGGCAAACAGTGCCCAATACCTTAAAAAGGGGCAGAGCTTACCACACAGGGCAGAACAACAGAGACCAAAAATCCTTCTCGTGACTCCGAGTTTCGTGTTTCAAAAAACTTTGTTTCTGATGAGTGGTTTTTGAAACACGAAATTCGGAGTCACGAGACGGATTTTTGGTCTCTGTTGTTCTGCCCCGTGTAATGAGTGTCTTAGCAACAAAACTTGTCAACCAAGTCCGCCATCGGTGGCTCGAGCAGTCCCAGTTTGGCACATCATGTGATGCCCACCAAGCAGTGACAGCTGCGACAGACAGCTACAGCACGCAATTCAACATCTTGGGCTTCTGCAGGCTACAAGCATGTATGGCACCGAGTGTGCTTCCAGTGCAGAAACCGGCAACTCATTGGGTGAGAAATGTGTTTAGCGCGTTGCAAGACGTTGAACTTTGGACAAAAATAGTCTTGCAATGTCATGCAAGAGTACACAACAGGCATTATTTTGTGTCACAAGCTTCACATGTTGCTTGCATATCCATGTGGTAATGTTGTGGATCGTTTCACAGAGCCAGGCACATTTTTGGTTTTATTTGAATTTGCAGGACCAAACAAGCAGAGATACTCAACAACAAGGTTGAGCCAGGAAAGGCACACGCACGATTCACATATTAATTACACCCATACTAAATTGAGCCAGCACACGCAAAAATCACCCTTAGTGACATATTTTTAGAAACTGAGATGACAGTGGATAAAGGCAGATGGATTTATGCAGAATTCAATGCAAAAAATATTTGAAAATTCTTGAGTAAAACTTGAGTTACGGGTCTTAAAAAATAGAGCATTTTCCCTGATATATCGCACATCACACGAAAACAGAGAATGTTTGAAGTGCGTTTTCTCAGTTTGAAGTGCGTGTCACTAAGGTCGATTTCCGCGTGCGCTGGCTCAATTATACTGCTGCTGATGTATCCAAGTAGAACTGAACAAAACATCATTGTACTAAACCAGGCGCGTGTAATCAGACTGCAAGAAGCCACCAAAGCCACACACCCAAGAATCTATGCATCTCACCTGCCCGGTAACCGCTTGCAGGTGGATTGACTGTGCAGAACAATACAACAATACACAGAAGGTTCTTGGCACGCTTTGTCTGTGCAGACGCCGAGACCACAAGGTCGGCTGAGCACCAGGGCCCCGCCACCACTTTCCGCATTCATTCGGGAGCATAGTGGACTTAGTAAAAAAAGGAAAAAAGGAACTTTCTTTTAAAAGTCACATCTGCTAGCAAGGAAGAACCCTTGGTACACATGGAACTTGACTGGTGAACCATAAATCCATGCACCACACACAGCAACAACAGGTGATGGAGGAAAGAACGTTCCAACGCCTCTTCACCCCGTGGCAAGTAGTCAAGAACAGAACAGTAAAGGGTGCTCTGGCAAGTAACATGTCACAACACTGATTATCCCTACCATTTGGGCCAGTGCATGCAATACCGTGTCTAAGGGCAAATTTTTGGAATTTTTTTCTTTCTTGAAAATCAATCACTGGGGTCTAGAGAACAACTCCGTGGAAGATGAAGCTGGATATCACATTTGAAAGTACATAGAGACCATGATTTCTATGGCATTGTCCAACATGGAATATGCCTTGTATAATGCATTATCTACAGCGTCGCAGAAAGCAGCAACAGTTTTGCGTATAAGCCTTTAGTATTGGCCAAGAGGCTGCCTTGTTATCCAGACAAAACCGGGCAACATTGTCCAGCAAATTCTTGCAGCGTTGACCTAACAAGAACTTGCGTTCCTTTCGTGCAAAGACAACATGGTCACGGAGTGGTTCCGTTGCAGACTTCTTTTCATCCTCTGCACGAGGAGAACAAATATCGTCCCGGAGCAGCGCACACTTGTTGAACACATCCATCCGTTGCGTCCTGAACTCGATGGACTTGCACTTCTTAGTCCACAGATACAAACAAAATATGGTAACCCAGGGTTTGCGCTTCACCAGACTGCTCGACATGTTCCGAAAGGACAAACTTGTAGGCGACGGATGTAGGTAAGTTTCATGGGAGATTCCTCACCTCTCCCTCTTGGTGCAAAAGACAAAGGGAGACCGAACACTAAGCTGTAGTTCAGTCTGTTCAGAATAAACTGCTGCGCTCTGTCTCCCACTTCTGCAGTAAATTTATTCCAAGGAACATTGCCAGCTTTCCATGTGCACCAGGGTCACAGCTAATGTTCTCCTTGTCCACTTGCAGACAGTCATATTCTGCCAACCACATGGAGCTGCATAAACGCGGTTCGACACACGATGTGTCCCATCACAGTGTATCCAAACGTGATGCGCGTCCTTTCCGTTGCGGAAGCTGTCGACTGATGCACGACAGTCGACAGGATCGTCACGCGTGCAGCGCAGCCAGCGCACAAATATAAAAAATGCCGAGGTCCTTCGATTTCATCGCCGAGATTTAGTCGTCGTAATGGAGGATTGCGCTCGACGTGAAGCTGCTGAAATGGTAGTTCCGAACGCAGCCACAGCCTTCAAGAATCAGTCAGTCCACAGCGGCAATGCTCTGAAGCGCGTCCTGCTCATCGTCGCTTGCAGAGGCCACAGAATCTCCGCCTAATTCATCCGCTCTCGACTCGCCTTCAACCTCAACACAGGAGTCTTTCACTCCCGGACGCTTAGCTGGGGCTTCGTCAGAGTCACTGTGAGCAGAACAGCTGCTAGTTGCCGACTGCTCCGATTCACGACTCGCCAAATAAATTGTCGTCTCGCTCCTCGATAATAAACCTTGCCAATCTCTTCGGGCGCGCCGACGATAATCACGCGAGCTGTACAGCTCAACCGGCGTGCTGCTCGGCGTCTGCCACGAGTGTGTCTACTCAGAGGCCCTTCCTCAAGTGCTAATTCCAACTCCTCCTGCGCCGCCACGTCCATGATGATCGCTTGTCGGTTGCTTCTCTTGTCGTCTTGAGATCGTTAGTCGGAGCAGACAAGATCCGCGGTCGAGCCACAAAAAAATAACTCTTCTTTCCGAGCGATTTTCTCAAAATTCTGAAAGAAATCGGTTTCCCCCGAAGACACGTTTTCGCATGCACTGGCCCATTTCATGTGGACGTGTGCCAGCCTCCAATATGATGTAGACACTTGTTGGAACATAGACTCTGTCATCCTTCATGTATTAAAACAAACATGGCTGCTGGATTTAGGAGCCACTGCTTGAAGTTGTATGAATAACAGCAGCACGAGCATTAGAAATCTCTCCAATACTGTCTCAATGCCACACTCCGTTTGTGGGATCTTGATTCTAGATTAAAATCTTGGCTTTACCAAGGCTGTGTTTACATCAGAAATTTCAACTCGGGTCGAGTTCAGCCCGGGTTGAAAGTCTGTACGATAGACGAAATAGGTGAGCGTTCACATGAAGACAGTTGACCAAATACTGATATGCCGCCAAAAGTCCACTTCTAGAGTCCTGTATGGTCACGTGAATATTTTCGCGCGAAATTATTTACATGTGCAGTGCTGTTCAAATCTGGCGCGAGATACACACAGAAGTACGTTAGTACGATTTCTCACCGCGGGTCAAGCACAATGCGTCATGTAAACGCGCCATTAATTTCGTGTACAAGGCGGGTTGAAATCCGACCCGGGTCGAACTCAACTCGGGTTGAAACCTCTCATGTAAACACAGCCCAAGCGAAACAAGCGACGAGGAGACAATAGTCGTAAAAATGGCAATAAATAAGCTCAATTGTTGAAAGTCACATGCAAGAAAAAGTTATGGAACTTAACTTTCATCATTTTTGGCTGTTGCCATGGGTGCACAATTGACCTTATTTATTGCCAATGAATCAAGAGAGGATTGATTTTTCACCATTAGCTTTTCAAAGGAGCTTGGTATTATTCTCTAGAGGAGAAATTTCTTATATGGTCCAGGAAAATAGATGCCGTAAAGGTTCCCGCTATGGCCCTTGTAATTTGGGTATTTTAGCGATGCAATTTAGTGATATTTGGCGATGATGGCCATTGCGTTCCTGGTAGGGGTGAAACGATTAGTTCGAATATTCGAGTAGTCGTTCGAAAATTTCAAACGAGCGAGTATTCGAAATTTTGCACTCGATGTTTATTTTTTATTTTTTTTTTAGTATTGGCATTCTATTTTTTCAAAAACTTCTGTTGCACCGCTCATCGACTGGTATGCATGCGTTATGCATGCATTTGAGTCAGTATTTTATGACTTGGACGATGCGATCACCACGGCAAGTAACGTTAGTTTGTTATGAGATAATGAAAGTACTATTGTACTGGTGAAAATCATTACTTTACACAAGACGTTGGCGGCTTTTGTTCTATGTTCACAGATAATTTCTTCCGAATTGGTCGAGAACTCACAAATCTAGTGCTATTGAATTTTGATAAAATACTCGAAATAATCGGATACTCGATCGAATATTATGAATGAGTGATCGAGTGGTCAAAATAGATACTCGTTACACCCCTAGTTCCTGGATGTAGCCCTGATTCGATGTGATAGTGATGTGAAGACAACTCAGGTGAGGTAATGTTGCCATAGCGGTGGTTTGTTCTTAGCTCCATTGTGGACACTGCACCAGCGCTCGTTTGGAGCCAAAATCCAGTCGCATTTTGGGTCCATTTTGAGGTGCTCCCCAGTTCCAAGGCGTCCGTAAGTTATGCAACGAGCCTTTCGATGGTTGTTGTAGACCCCAAAGGAAACCTACTTGCAAAATTTGAGCCAATTTGGAAAGATGACCCAGCCCTGCTTTTCTGATTTTCTCAGACATGCTCCCTTCTACCGCTATAGGGGTATGGCATTCAGCCACTGGGCAAATTGCTAACAATATGGCAAATGGCCAGTTCCACAACTTTATAGCTCTGGCAACTGGGATTTTCAACTTTTTGGGAAATGGAGGCCCAGACTACTACCATCACATTGACTAACTTGATACATTACCCAAAAGAAGAAGCAAGGCATCATATGACTCGCAAGTTCGCCCAAATTGTGTAAAATACGGCAAAGTCGGCAATTTGAGCCGAAACATCGCTTGAAAAAGAAGAAAAACAAGAAGCATAGTAAAACCTGTGTATAGTGCAGTTAGCTTTTTTTGAGCTCCGTAGTTTTTCGCAGGTTTTGTAGGAGCCAGCCGGCAGCAGGCCGGTCTGGAGCAGGGTAGGGGCTGGATAGTTTAAAATTAGGTAGTAGATAGTTAGAGCGTTCCAAATGCCCACGTCCGGCGAAAATCGCAGTTGGAATTCGGTCTCTCCGAAAGTTCTAAAGAGGAACACGGGGACTTTCCACGTTCCACTGCACACGAAAACCCTCGAAGTTGCTGAGGCCCTGATTGAACATGGCTACTCCGACCTGATATCCGTGCAGCTGACCAGTAACTTGAGCTGCAAGGCCACGTTTCATTCCCGAGACACTCTGACACGACTTTGCCGAAACGGTTTCCATCTCATGTCAGTGGAAGTGCGCGTCACTCAACTGGTGCCTGATTCCGTGGAAATCCAAATTCACGATGTGCCTATCTGGGTCCAGGACGACGTTATTATCGAAAGCCTGGGTGTCTTTGGATCGGCCGTTGGGCCTCTTCGCCATGGATTTGTCAAGACGAAGTCAGGGCTCGCCATTGCCACTGGTATCCGCTTCGCCACATTCTCTCTTCGCCCCAACATGCAGATTCCGTCGTATGTGAAAACATCTACGAACAACTTGTTTCGTGTACGCTACGAAGGCCAGCCTGCAACCTGTCGTAAATGCTCACAACCGGGACACATCGCTGCAGATTGCAAACTCGCCACAGGAACGACATACGCCAAGCGAACCGCGCACACCAGAACAAGCGCAACTGCAACTGTCGGAGGGCAACCTGGTGAACTTACCGTACAGACCGGAGTCCAAAACGAGTCGCCAGACTCGGCACGCTCCAGCAGAAGGCCCAGCACCAGCCCGAGTACTCTCTCGAGTACTGGATGTAGTACGAGTGCAACTCCTGTGGGGTCAAATGTTGGAGAACCCGCAGTCAGCACTGAAGTGCTCGAAACGGATTTGAATTTGAAAACTACGAAAGTCGATGAGGGGACTACTGAGGTTACTTCAGCCCTGAACAACCTGACAGATACTGACTTAACTGAGCCAGACATGTCGTCCGCACAGGGATCGCTGTCAAGCATGACAGCACACCCCAGAACTCCCCTCGCGGACGTCGAAGTAGACATTGCAGAGCGAGATCTAGAACGGACAGAGCGACTCCTATCAGAAGTGGCATCAAACATCAACACCGAAGCGATCCACACTTGGTTCACGCCTGAACGACGAGGTAGGAATGCCAGCACTGAGTCCTCACCAGAGTTGGCAACTGGGGGGAAGAAGAAGGATTCCCGGAAACCAACAAATCTAGCTCCAGGCTCACGATTTAGTCCGCTTGCCAGAGCCTAATCGTGACTTGAAAAAAAAAAAAAAAAAAAATGCAGAACTATAACTATAATGTACCACCCACAGCACCACCTACCTCCTCGACCCAGTCACTGCGCCTCCTGGTGACTAATGCTTTTAGCTTAGCAAACAAATTTGGAGAATTTGTCCACACTGTCACACACCACAATGTAGACATCGCTGTTGTGACCGAGACCAGGTTTGATGCAACTATCATGCCAGCTAAAGAGATGCGAAAAGACCACCAACAATCTATTAGATCATGACTAGTCCACATTCCACGTTGAAAGTACTGTCCCTGAACATCTGCAGCCTCCGCCAGAAGCTGCAGGATCTAATGCAACTGGCCTCTACTTGTGTGCCCAATGTAATAGCTGTCTCAGAAACTTGGCTCGATGGTACAATTACAACAGCAGAAATGTCCATACCAGGTTACACCCTACATCGCCTAGACCGTTGCGGGAACTTGGGTGGTGGTGTGTGTATATACACTGATGTCGGACTGAAATGCCACCCCCGGCCAGATCTTGCCACACAGGATATTGAGTGCTGCTGGGTAGAGGTGAAGGCCCAGCCGAAGCCTTGTCTCATTGCCTGTCTGTATCGGCCACCTCATATGCGAGTGTCTTACTGGCAGGCCCTGGAAGCGACGTTCACTCGTGCGATGAGGGAGCCAAAGGATGTCATAATCTGTGGTGACTTCAATGTTGACTATAGCTGCCAGAGTGGTCAACTCTCCTATCTATCTGACATCGCGAATACCCTCGGACTGTCACAAAGTGTGAGTCAGGCCACAAGAATCGGAATTACGGGATCACAAACCACCCTGGACTTAGTATTTAGTACGTTGCTGTGCAGAGCCCCAACCATTGTCTCCCCAGTATCATTTAGTGACCATTCGGCTGTCATCTCTACCCTGGCAACCACTGCTGACTGTGCACCCCAGAGTGCTCAACCGCAGACTCGGCACCTCCGAGGCATCAACATGGAAATGTTTCGCAATGACCTCGTGGCTGCAAACTTGTGCTCCTTGGATGGATCGTGTGATGAGATGTGGACTCGATGGCTGCAGAAGTTCCTGGATATCCTAGACAAACATGCTCCTTTGAGGACCCGCCGCACCAAAACACGCAAACATGTTCCTTGGATGGATGCAAACCTGCTGGCCACAATATCTAGTCGAAACCGGGCCCACCGCAAATGGCTACGCACCTGCAACCCTGTGGACCATGAAGCTTTCCGCCAGACCAGACGTGATGTGAACCAGCTTAACCGACGACTCAAGGCCTGCTACTATCAGGATCAGTTTGCCAATGCGGAAGGTCAGCCAAGACAAACATGGAGAGTGATTAACCAGGTATCAGGCAGAACACGGACCCACACTGCTCCTCAATGCCCCCCGGATGAAATCGGCCAAGTGTTTGCGGACATCGTCACCGATGCGACTCGCCCAAAGGTGCTGTCCATCCCCTCTGGTCCGCATGCAAGTACTGATCTCTGCTGTTTCAAGCCAGTATCCATCGCATGTGTACGCAAGTTGCTCAGCAGTGTAGATACGACAAAGTCCACGGGCAGTGATGGCGTACCTGCTCTTGTACTAGCAGCATGCTCTGACCTCTTAGCTCCATCAGTAACTCTCATCTTCAACAAGTCACTTTCCGAAGGGAGATTTCCACTATCCATGAAACTTGCAAATATCACCCCTGTGTACAAGAGCGGCGACCCTACTAAGGCCACCAATTTCAGGCCTGTTTCTCTGTTGCCGATTATCTCAAAGATCCTTGAGCGCATCGTACATTCGCAACTCACTGAATTCTTGACCACCCACAGCCTCTACCCAGATTGCCAGTTCGGATTCCGGAAACAGCACTCAACAGAGGATGCTGTTGTGATGGCATCAGAGGCCTTTGCCAATGCCAAAGACTCCGGACTATCAACTTGCGCCGCCTTTGTTGACATGTCGAAGGCATTCGACAAGGTTCAACATGGCACCCTCATCCGCGACCTCTTCAGTATTGGTGTTGGTGGAAGTGCGCTGAATTGGCTGGCAGACTACTTAAGTGACCGGCAGCAAAGAGTTGTCACTGGGAACCAGCACAGCAAGGTATTCCAGCCCAGCAGTGGTGTGCCCCAGGGTTCCGTACTTGGTCCTCTGCTGTTTGTCCTCTATGTCCGTGGTGTGGCAGCTGAAGTGCAACCGTATGGTGTGCGGACAGTTCAGTTCGCAGATGACATCATGCTCTATATTAGTAGCAGGGACAAACATCAGCTGGAACGCAATATGTCTTCTGCAGTTACACACCTGGCCAGATGGCTTGCCAGCAGGAACCTGGTACTAAACGAGAGTAAAACCCAGATTTTGTTCATCCCTGCCCATCGTTCTGTGAATCCTCGTGTCAGCGTTATGTGCTCTGGAGTTCAGCTGGCACAAGTAGAATCCGCAAAGTATCTTGGTGTCCACATGGACCAAGATCTAAAGTGGACCACAATGGTCAACCAGATCGCCAAGCGAGCTGCCTGTAAAATAGCTGTCCTGTTTAGAAACAGGCGCTGCATGCCCCTCCCGTGCCGCATCACATACCTGAAGTCCCTGATCCTTCCTGACTTCCTGTATGCTAGCAACTGTTTCTCTGCTGGCCTCACCTCACATCAGCTCGAGCGCCTAGAGCGGCTACTCAAGCGCGCAGTCCGCTGTGTTTACAACGCTCCATTTGCATCACCATCTGCGCCGCTGTATTGCCAATTGCGATTGCACTCGCTAGAAGTTATGTACTGCCACAAGCTGCTTGGCTACACTTGGCGCTGCCTTCAGGGTAAATGCAGCACATTGCTTACCGATATGTTCAGTCCTCTTAATGCCGGCCGTGCTACACGTAGTCAGGGAAATCGAGCACTTAAATTTCCAGTCACTAAGACATCCGCTGGCACACATTCTGCCTCATTCCAATGTGTATCACTGTGGAACAGGCTCCAGCCCGACATCAGGAAAATCCCACAGTACCACCGATTCATGCGATCCCTCCCAGCACATGCTGCTTTTCAGTAATGCCACTGCCCGCTGTACTATTATTTCCTTTACTGGCCTAACTGGCTTTAACAAAGTAATACTTTACTACCCACTCTACTCAGTGTCATTACCTTCATTGGCCTTTTATAATTTATTCTCCTTTTTAGTCGATATCATGTAATTAGGCAAATTTGCCTGTTTGTTCTTCGACTCTAAATAAACAAACAAACAAAAGCATCACATAACAAGGCTGGTTTCGAACCCATTACCTCTCGCGCATGACGCAGTGACTATACCAACTGGCTGTATGCTCGTGTAGCGCCCACCCCTGCCTGTACACTTTTAAGTGTAAAAAATTAATAGTCATTAATTTTTTTAATTCTTATTTTTTAATTTTTTTATTCTTACGGGTTCAACCCTGCTTTTTCAAACGGTTTTATTGTAATAATAATATTTTTAATTTTTACCGCCCAGGACCACACAAAGTCCTTGGCTACAAAAAAATGAAAATCTCTCCAAATCTCTCCAAACCAAACTTCAAATTCCTTTCCAAATTTTCGCCCAAGAGGGCATCTTCAGGGATATGTGACTCCTATGAACAAAACAACAATATAACTACAGAAAAAAGGGTAATAACAATAACGTGGCAATATACCAGGAACATCATAACTAGTGCTAAGAATTGAGACTAACATTGTAGATAATGTCACATATTCAGAAACAAAAACAGAACCTACCCACAATATCGCACGCCAGGTAATAGCCTAAAACAAATGTCTCAACTTGCAAGATCTCAAGTCAGGTGATGATGGGTCAGCGTGAAGTGTATGTCTCAACTGGTGTGATTGCCAATTAGATGTGCAGGTGACGAGGCCAGAAAGAGAGAGAGAGACTGAGGAAGAGAAAGAAAGTGTGCGTATGCACTATGCATGTGTTTGTGTGTGTGTGTGTGTGTGTGTGTGTGTGTGTGTGTGTGTGTGTGTGTGTGTGTGTGCGTGTGTGCGTGTGTGTGTGTGTGTGTGTGTGAGCGTGTGTGTGTGCGTGCACGTGTGTGTGTGTGTGTGTGTGTGTGTGTGTGTGTGTGTGTGTGTGTGTGTGTGTGCGTGAGTGCGAGCCTCACGGGTGGTAATTGCATCCATTCGATGAGATGGTCTTGCCCCAGTAACCATGAAAGGAATTTGAAGTTTGGTTTGGATAGATTTGGAGAGATTTTCATTTTTTTGTAGCCAAGGACTTTGTGCGGCCGTGGGCGGTAAAAATTAAAATCATGACAAGGCTACAGAGGAGTCACGCCATTCTTATTAATAATAATACTACTAATAATAAATAAATAAATACAGTATACTAGTAATCAATCAGTACAATGCAAAGAAACCGCTGGAAGCAGTATGCGTAGTAGTCTACGGCCAAGATACCAGAAACCGTATCAAACTCAGCACGGGGTCGAGGTACTAAAACGATTACCAAACTAAGTCAAGAATTGACCATTACATCCCTAGCCCCGGCCAACCCAATTCTTCCTCGCTATTTCTCCTCCTTCGCACATTTTATCTCTTACTGGCCTCTGGATATCGTCAGAATAAATATTCGAAACATGTCCTGGTCCTCCACTTACGTTCGCAGATTGGGAAGTTGACCCAGTTTCCCTGGTGGCAATAGACGCGCTCTGGATTTTTCAGTGTGTGACCTGGTTTACACTGTGCTGAACCATTCTCGGGAATATTGAGAACACCTGTGCTATCCACCGTCGCAGCATAATTACATATTCCTGATTGAGTTAACAGAGATCAGCACAGCATGCACAACAGCGATGATTGGGCAACAGCTGCATACACATTAGCTTTTATATTATTTGGACAAGTTACTGGGTGCGATGCGCATTAATTTCCACAGCAGCAAGCGGAAACATATGCCGCATTGGATATGAAGACCCTTGGCGTGCTTCAGCAAAGATCTTTCTTTCCACGCTTGAGCAAGTCAATGCATGGGTAGTATGCCCAGCAGTCAGGTTTGTGACTTGCAACTCGAACTTTGCACTGAATGATCACCAGAAAGTTAGCGATATACCTTATTCGATAACGTGATTTTTGGACTCGCCTCCAGGGAGTTGTCGTAAGTTGGGGCCCTCGTACGTGAAATGAGTCGCAAGAAATGCCCAGTTGGTACAAGGGAGTAGTAAAATACCGGTATTTTTCTACTCCTATGTTCCCACGCCGAGTCCACTGTGCACTGAGTGCACGTCTTTTGCCACTCCCTGGTTCCCGGGACCCCGGTTCACGTGATTGTGACGTTTATCGTATTATAAAGGTATATTATTGTATATTATTGATTTATTGTACAGCATTGCATGAATCGGCCTCTCAGGCATTCGGCACATGCAGTCGCCCACAACAACTGATCAAGACATCTGATCCTACCATTCGGACACTATCCGAACAACAAAAGCAGCTGCACATTTTAATCAACGGAGAAAACAATAAGGACAAGAGACAAGTACTGAAATCAAATCGGAATAAGGTGCTGCAGAAAATTCAATCTCTCCTAAAGACCCAAGAAGACCAGTTCTGGCAGGACAAAGCCAACGCTGTTGACGCCGGGAGACCCGACGCCAGATCCTATTTCAGCGCAATCCGACAGCTGCGTGATCTGCGTGGGGGCAAGAAGTCTCATCGTATTCAGCTGGCCAATGAGGATGGAGAGATCGTAACTGGTCTACAGTGGAACTTGGACAAGTTCCGGGAGTATTTCTCATCAGTATTCTACAACTCTGACCTGCCCACGGACCTAGTAACCGAACAAGTGGTGTCTGAACCCCCTTCACAATTGAGGAGGTCAAGGCAGCTATTCTCAGTCAACGAACAAAGGGAGCCGCTGGGTGTGATGGGATAAGTGCAGCGATGCTGAAATCCGCCATGGACATCATCAGAACATGGTTAGCAAACCTCTTCAATGCTGTGCGGATCCTATGCCATTGCCCGAAACGATTTGAGATGCGGAGTGTTGATGCCAATTTACAAGCCTGGCAAGCATATGGGAATACCAAAGAGCTACCGACCCATCACGCTATTATCTGTGGTGAGGAAAGTGCTGACATGTATTCTGAACCGTCGAACGTGGACAGCAGCAGATAGTTACGTAAGGGAGTCTCAAGCAGGATTCAGACCAGGCCGCTCAACAGCAGACGGTGTGTTCTATTCAAGAATGCTGTGTGAACGCGCAATGCTTGGTGATTGGTCATACTCAGCAGCGCTGCTGGACTTTTGTGGTGCATTCGACACCCTGGTTAGGAGTACAGCGCTGGACAGGATGACGGTGGCGGGGGCGCAGACATCGACTGTATCAGCATTGATCTCAAACACAACAGCCAGAGTAAAAAATTCCAGCCAGCTTGGAGAGGCCTTCCCCACGAACATTGGAGTCGTGCAAGGTGACCCGCTATCGCCCACTATGTTCAATATGTATGCCGAAGGAGCCATGTGGAAGATCGATGCAGTTAGTAGCCTTGCAAGAACTCAAGATGTACCCTCACCTTCAACACAATACGCAGATGATACAACTATGCACGCACCATCTAGGAGTGCTGTGGAGACCATTGTAGCCACATGTGAGCCGATCTTCAAAGAAGACAACCTCAACCTTAATGTACAAAAAACCGTATATTTAACTGCTTCCCGTACTGATGCATCGTGGAAAACGGTCAAGCTCCTTGGTTCCTTGCTGGACTCCACGGAGGATGTGGCAGCCAGGATCGGTGCAGCGAACCGAGCATTCCGCTCGATAGCATGGAAGTGGCATTGCCTGGACTCACGGCTTTGCATGTTCTCGGTTCTCATTGTTCCAGTGCTGCTGTATAACTGCGGGCTGTGGACCCTCACGAAGCGACAGAATGAACAGCTAGATGTATGGCAGAGAAGAAAGCTCCGTTGTATCTTCGGAGTCCACTACCCGCACTGCATATCCAAACAAATCCTGTATGAAAAATCAAAACAGCAACCAATCAGCAGGGTCTGCAAGAGAAGACGTCTCCTATGGTTCGGCCATGTTGTTCGGGAAGGTCCGGGCACGGCTTCCTATGGCGCGCTAACCATGGCCATCGACACGTGGAAGATCAAGCGTCCACGAGGACGACCGAGGCTTCGGTGGATTGATGTGGTGAAATCCGACATCTCCCCTCTCGGACACACGCTCGAGGATTGCCTCGACACTGCATGGGACAAAACGCTATGGCTGGACTTCATTGACAAATGTACATCGGTGTAAAAAAAAGGCATGTACTTGTCATGTGCTAGAACCTGTATATGTTTTTTTTCGTATGCTACTCTAGTTTCAGAAATTTTCGGTGCTCAATATTTTCGGTATGAGGGCAAAAGGCCAGGTTAGGTGAACAGAAATTTTCGGTACAGGGAAGCTGTTCCCTATTGGATTATGTGTGTTAGTGTTTGTTCGGTGTATTGAAATTTTAGGTATGAAGCAGATGCACCGAAAGTACCGAAAATAAAAGTACACCGAAATTTTGTGAAATTAGAGTATTCTTCCTGCTGCAATCTATTTCATGATGAGACAGTTGACAGATGCGTGGAACTCATTATTTGGGAGACATGCGACCTGTATTATTATTATTATTATTATTATTATTATTATTATTTGCAATAAAACGATGAAAATATGAAGAAATGGTGTAGGGAAAAAAATATATGGATTCAAACAAGTTTTCGTACAACACTCATCAGGAATCGTCGTTGTACTAAAGGACACTGAAACAAAAAATTGAACTATTATAGAAAATCTAAGTTAGAGAAATAACACTAAGAGCAACAACAGTGAAATTTACAAGTATGAATTTTAACAATCAAAGCGAGAAATGAACAAAGGAGAAAGGAAGGAAAGACAACGTGATAACACATAACAGCAGTACATTACACCTAGAACATTAACGGCCAAGCTTGGCCGCACTAAACACGACACGTTACTTGAACAATTTCAACCCAATTTTACTATCTTTCTGTACACACAAATTAGGCTTGTACAGACGCTGATAGATAGCTTCCAACACTTTTAACTGTAGTCCATAACCATGACGACCACGGCACAATACAGTGAACGAAGAGTCGGAATACGAATTGCAACAATCAGGACTAGCTAGCAGATGATTGTACACTGAAGACTTGCTACCACGAAACCTACGCACAACACTAACACTCTCACCGGCATTCTCACCATCACTCCCATCACTGCTCTCCGACTCACTGCTCCCTCCGCCGTCCGTTCCATCCTCCGCTTCCTCTGTACTCTCTCTGTCTCGTCCATCCCGCCTGACCGGGTCCATTGAACTCAACTCGGCCGTCACCCTGCTATCACGTCCCTCCTTTCGCCCTTGTCCGCTGAGTGCGTAGCTTCTGTTGTAGTTGGCTGTTGATCGTCTTGGTCTTTCAATTATGGGCTTGGATGGTGGATTAGTTGTTGTTGCTGTAGATTGCGTTGTTGGTGTTGGTGTGGGAGCTACTGATATGCAAGGTGGGTATTTTTGAGTCGGCATTTGTAGTGTTAATGCAGCTGTCAGTGTTGCTCGCGGTCTACATGGTCCTTCGTCTTAATCTCAGAGTCGTTGGTTCGGCCACAAACATTGGGCGCTACTGTTGCAAGAAAATAGAGGGATTGGTGTGCATGATTCAAACCCATTACTCCTGTCTTTACTTAACAGTGGTCCGCCGAACAGGCTACCGGTGATTGCAAACACCAACGGACTCCTTCTTGCCGCACTTACCCCTAAAGCAATAATTCTAGCATGTCAATGATATGTTTTCTGGTCAAAGCTCGCCATTTAAGTTTCTTGAACACTAACGTCTCTTGGTCTCATGATTGCAGGCAGGAAAGCAGACACTAACACAAACCATTACTGATACTTGAGAGTTCATACTACTTACTGGCTAAACAGGCAAATGGAAGCTCCCTCGAACTATTCCTGGCCTCACTATGTTCTAGCTGGTTGCCATTCACCTCAAAGGCATAATGATTATCAAAAGACACTTGATCGGACTGTCGAGACCAGAACAGGCCTTTGGCGGCGGCAGCACCAAGTTTCTTGAGCACAATGGAGAGAGTCTCCACTTCAAAAGCATTTTGAAAGTTCAACAGTCTTGCGTCATATCCATACGTATCGATGCAGTGTTTGGTGGCATTGTAATTACTCATCTCCAGCAGATTACGGGAAAAGGGGATTGTTGGCACAACGACATAGAGATCATTCTTGTGGTACTGAGATGCAGCTGAATAGGGGAATTACAAACAGAGAAAGAAGGGGCATCAGCAGCACGCTCTGACAAACTTGAGCCATCAAATGTTGAATATGCTATGCTTGGATGACCACTACACCATAGCTTAGTGGTAGAGTATAGCTGGTTATCAGCGACGGTCCCTGGTTCGAGTCCCGGTGGTGACTGGCATTGGTTTTCTCCAAACATTTCCCGTCTGAGACTCCCCCAAACTAATGTGTACCCCCTGGTATATATCCTTATTATTTTATCAGTGTCAATAAGAGTGCATAAACAAGAGTATGCAACTGTGGTTATGGGTCAGTGTGCGGCGCGCTGCCTTCATTAGCTAACTTGCCTTCATCACGCTCTGAAAGCATGCAATCAAACTCAGAATTTCTCGTACGAGCCAATCTGGTTTTGGTCGTTTCGTTCCAGTACCTACGCCATCTCTAAATTTTGGCGCGTTAACTCCAGTTCCGTACGAAAGTTCATTTCAAACCAGAGGGAAAGTGCGGTGTTTGATTTTCCGCAGTGCGGGGGCTGCAGCTGAATGATGTAATGAAGGCAGCGCGCCACGTATCTGGCCCATAGAAAAGAGATCACAGTTGCATACTCTTGATTATGGACTCTTGGTGTCAACCATATCCCTTTCAGGGGTGTCGCACACGGTATTAATCGTTACACTATTTGCCCCAGGTACCCCGTGAATCAATAAAATGCACTCATCCGGGCTCCAAATTACCAAAATTTTCGGCTCAGCCATCCTTCCCTCATGAGTAAATTGTACTTCAAATGGCTTACCGCACCACAAAAATAACTTCCGACGCCCCTACCTTTCTCGCCCAGAAATAATGATGTTTCCCCTAGCAAAAAGGGTGAACTCCCTGAAACACTGGGCATTGAGTAGGGAGAGGGGTTTTCTTGCAGGTTTGCCCAGCGAAAGCTAGTAGATGGACTTCTCTCGTGCTCAGGATGGCAGTCATAAGTCAGTCAATTGTCATATCAAATCAGCAGGAAAAGACCCAACATCGGAGGACACGCAAAATTCCCTAGTGAATAGCAGGAAATATTTCGAACTTAAATGTCCACCCGTTAGTCCACTCTTTAGTCACTACTTAACCTTGAACCTTTAGTTGAGTTCGAACGCTGTTGGTGCTGGCTTTGTAGATGTGTTGAAGCTAGGTGTCAGGTCATAAACCGTCAAAGAACTCTGTCATTTGTGTGCCTAGTTGTAGCACTCTCTGCCTGCATATAATCTAGTTCAAGTGGTGGGTAGTGACTCATGATTTGTGTCCATGTATTTTGATTGGCTTCTTGCTTTGAGCCGAAGCCATCTGGACGACCTGAGAAAGTTTGCTGCGGATCGCACTGGATGGCGGCAGATAATCTAAAGGAGTCGTAGCAACAGCCGGATATTGACATACATAATGGACAGAGCTAGAGAACAGCAGCGGAAGCATGTATAGCACGGCTGTGCATGTTGTACGCGTATCTGTGTTATTATTATTCTTGCTTTGTTTGTTTTGTTTGATTGGTTTGCTCAAAGAAATCCTCCGCTTTGTTGTCCGGGTCTCTTTCAAGAGTTGCATGCCTTTGTCTAAGGTGACATCATAATTATGGTCAAAGTCATCGAAAAGAAAGGGAAAAATTCCAATTTTAAAGAAATCATGCGGGACTGCTCAAACCAGCACAGCCAAATAAGTATTTGTCTGGACGAGCGCTTGAGCTGGGCAGGTCAAGTGGCTGCTGTAGTGAAGATGTCCTACAAACTCTGAGTCTTGCGCCACATCAGAGCAGATATCACCCGTGCGCAGTCCCTCCTTTACTACACAGCTCTTATCCTACCTGAACTACTCTACGCCTCGAACGCCTACTTTGCCAGCCTCTCAGAAAGCCTCAAACAG